CAGCAAGAAATGCTCTGTGCAGGTGGAAATGCTCTGTGCAGGTGTTAATCAAGTTAAATCCCAACAGCCAATCAGCAAGAAGTATAGAGGAAAGCTGCATGCCTATTGGTTGATGCCCTGCATTCCATTGTGATGACTCATGCCCAGACATGGTAAACACGGCACACTAACACAGTAATACATTTGCTATAACACAGCCAAAAAACTCAAATAAAACCATTCTAAAAGCCTGTATCACAAAAATTTTAAAAACGCCTAGGGGTATTTGCCCACTGTACCTCCATACCAAATTTCAGGTCCTTAGGCCCTAAAATGAAGAAGCTGAATCCATTTAAAAAATGGCAGGAGAAGAAGGAGAAACATCAGAAAAAGCAATATGGGTTCACCACCACTTCGTGGTGTGGTGAACCCATAATAAGGGTACTTGTCAATAAAGGTAAGGCCCCAGTATTCACTGGTTAGGCAATAACAATTTAATCTTTTGGTTCTCAGATTTTTACAAAAAAAAATCTCAAGAAATATAAAAAGGCCACAAAGTCAACATACTAGGCTGGTCTATAGCTGAAACAATAAATTTTGGACTTAATACTGAATGACTGCTTTAAATGGCTAAACTGTAATAACTATTACTTTTAGGTGTTGATTCAAAACCTGAATATATATATAAATTAAAAAGAATGGCAAATCCGAAAACCAAGAAATTTAACTGGTATCACCTTAAAAATTGCATTATATTATAATGAATAAATGAATGAAAGACCTTTATTGTATGTTTGTGCTCTAACAAGCTAAGTACAGGTCATGGGTAAACAGGGAAAAGAATACAGCAATGACACTTACATACTATATATACTAATGTGATCTACTATTTACAGGTTCAACTTCTTCTCGCTTCTTGATGCAGTTAAAGATGTACGAACATATTGAGCTAATGATACATCGTTTGTCAAGTTTCATGAGGAATTCAGATTTTTCTATTCTATCTAAATGTCTAAAGCTAGGGAACTTATCTATTACATAAGTATAGAGGGAATCCCTCTCATTTCTATAAATACATTGTGCTATAATCTGATAGAAAAATTGTTAGATTTGGACAGCTTTGTTGCTTACCCGGGCCATGTCTGCAGAGGTTCATACAGGATGAGCAGGGTGGGGTCAAAGTACCCATGTAGGAACTGTAGATCCACCACATTAATCAGCCTCTCATCCAGGTCCTGCAGCTTGATCATGTAGGTGGGCAGGATGGATGACTTACTGTGGGGAAACATGCAGGACACAGTTTACTTACCTGTTTGGATCAGGGACATGTACAAGGATGCACATAAATTAAATCATACATCTAATAATATACAGTAAATGCATTGTACTTATGCTCTGAGCAACTAAAAACAAGCTAACAGACAAAAAAACATTACAGTCGATTTACACTTAACACTTTGATTTTTCCTACAAAGGCATTTCCATATTGTTTGTTTGTTTGTTTGTTTAGGATCTCCATTGGTGTGATTTTCACACTACTCTTCCTGAAGTCCGTAGTGAATAATCAGATAAGTATTTGGACCATCGCACACTGGGGCACTCTTTTTCGAAGTGTGGTGGGTTCTTTAACATGCGCGGGGTGTGGCTCTCCCCAAACACGGGACCTCCATTTAACGTCCTATCCCAGGGACGTCCCTGACCAAAGGTACTCATTTTCACCTGAGTGAAGTGAGGAAAGTAGTGTAAAGTGCCTTTCCCTAGGGCACAAGATTGGTGACAAGGTGGGGTTCGAACCCGGGACCTATTGGTTCCGAGCCTACCACTTACCCAGTACAAGTAAAGAATGTACACTGCACCTTTGTCAAACCTGTGGTTCTGCTAACCAAGTCAAAACAAGCCAACCAAACCAATAAGTGAAGATGCGTCAGTCTGTATCTTACCTGCCGGCTGACATCTCAGCCTCGTCCACGGCCCCCTCCTTCCTGAAGGGCAGCACCACCAGCCGCTTACCATAGATCAGCATGACTGCACAGCGGCCTTCTGGGTCCACACGCACCATGGGAGCGTGGTAATTACTCACATACCCATCCTGTGGTACGGACATTGTTGTAACTGTATGTAAATCTTCAACGTTACCAGTATGTATTATCATCACATATAACTAAAAAAACTATACATAGAAACAACATCAGCATGAATACAAACAAAAACACTGCTATAATAAAATGAGAGGCATCTTCCCTTAGTATCTATAGTATATCCAAATAACCTACCTTAACTTCTTCTTCTTCAAAGTAGTGCATAGAAGCAGTCTTCAGGTCGTGGGTCCCAGGATCATATTCAACTATGGACAGCTAGAAAACATAAAATTATTACTATAAAGGATCTCTAGTCTGGGATATCATTGCACATATTTGTCAGGATATTGCCTATATAGTAGGGCTGCGTACCTAAACGTAACATCAGGTACAGGTACAGGTACTGGTACAGAGGTTTAGGTACAGGTCCGGACCTGTACCTGTACCTGAACAATTTGACAAATTAACACGTGTTCTTCACTTTTTCAATCATGACACAGAAACAATAATAAAGTGTTGGAGGGAAGGGAAAATGACTGACCTCTGACCTGATTTGAGTTTGTTGACCAATCACAACCCTGGATCAGCCACACTCTCGCGATGTCTCGTGAGACTGAGGATCTCAAATCAATCGACGGTGTTTACGTCTTTTCCAGTGCTAATTTTTCGTCTTTGTGGTAGGATTTACCTATCTTTAGTCATATACATGGTGTAAACTAGCTATTTCGGTATATACTCGTTACTTCATGATCCGGTATTTTGGACCTGTACCGAAACGATTTTTACGGTATTGGACCGGTACAGTGTACCGGTCCGCAGCCCTACTATATAGCCACTATTGTAAAAAAAAAATACATGAACTCAGCTCAGTACTTTCCTTACAGTGATAACGATCATTTTATGGTTGCAAGCATATAACAAGCATTTCCTTTGTCATTGTTTCTCCACTTGTCAAAGCCAGATAAAAAGTCTTTTTTAGATCCTATAATTATTATCGATTACAGTGTAATTGTTACTAAAATGTAGCAATAATTGAACAATGTAACTGCCTTCTTTATTTACCTGAAAAAGAAAAAAACAGAACAAAGCCCCAGTTTTCTCAGCCAAAAAAGTTGAATCGTGTGGCGCAACGGCAGCGTGCACGACTAGGAATCAAGAGGTCCCGGGTTCAAGTCCTGACATGCCACTGATCTTGTGCCCTTGGAAAAGGCACTTAACACGACTTTCCCCACTAAACTCAAGTGAAAATGAGTATTGTCTGTCCAGTATTCGTTTCTATGTGTGGGACACAACACCAGCAACAGCTGCCTCTGCTCCGCGTGTATTGCACTGTTGCAATTTCAATAAAACAAATCAAATCAAACTCCTCGTACCTTGGCATCCATGAAGCTGAGCAGCAGTGCGTCCCTGTCAGACCCGGCCAGCTGGACAGACTGGAGCGACATGACGTTCCCGTACAGCGAGAAGGACGCAACCAACTCCATCTTCTGTTTACGGCTCTTCTGGTCTACAGGAGCCAATCAAAAATCTTTCATCAGAACAAGTTGATCATTTATTATTAAGAATAAATGTACAAGCTGAACAAAAAAACAACAACACTGAATTGTTTTCAAACTCAACCAACTTACCTTGTTTGGTTTTATCATCAGTTCCTATTGCAGGATTCTGCAAAAGGAAGAAAAGTCACTTAAACAACAACTCCTAAAAAAGGGAACAAAAAAAATTCACTTAAGTTTTTTTCCTTTCCTTTTCAAACTGTTAACTGTTTATTCTACACTTTGATCTTTATCTGTGTGCTTACATGGACTGAAGCGTGTGTAAGAATTAGGAGAGTAGAAACAGAAAGACACTTCCGGTCCCGGGCCGGGGATCGAACCCATGCCAACCCGGGCACCAGCTTACAAACCCAACGCTCCTTCCAAATCGACTAAAAGGTCTAGACCCATCGGCCGGGTCAGTTGGTAGCACCCCCCACTGTTACACTACTCCGTAGCGACTATAAACCCTCACTATTACACATGGAGTGATACATGGTCTGTGTTAAAGAGCGATGCTAGCAACTTAGATCACAGTCAAAATTGCCTGATGAGTAAAGTAGAGTGAGGTAAACTAATATTGTCCAATTCGGATACATGACAGTAAGTACCTCCATGTCCCCCTTGAGCCTGTAGACATGGAGCTGTGTGGTCCCCGCCACCACCAGACTTTTCTCCTGCGCAGAGATGAAGTTACACCACACGGAATGTTCCACCGTGGTGGGGGTGTGGGTCTGCTTGTACACACCGTACATGGCTGGGATATCAGAGGGACGGGCTCTGGGGAAAGATAAGACACATCATTGATTTAAGTGCTATCTTTTTGCCCAAAAAAGATACAAGTACTAATTACATAGCCTCCGTAGCAGGCTTATAGAACTAGGGGCTTGTGGTCTTCGGCTGTTTTCTGATAGCCAAGGGGGAAATTCACCCAGGCCAGCTATATTGTCTATATGTAATCAGAAAATAGCACATAAAAGCTCCCAAAGACCGGTAGATCCCCCAAACCTCCAGTTTTTGGCATGCTATGGAGGCTAACAACTACATAGACAGATATGAAGTCAGAAGTTGTAAGTGTAACAATCAGCCAAAATAGGTTGGACGTGATATCCTTGTCTATTTAGATATTAGTATGGCAGCATTAGTATGACCTAGAAGCTAGGATATGTTAAACGAACGAAACAAAACATAAGGAACAGTTTTCCTTTTCAGAAAAAGCCGTCGTGAAAAAACAAGGAGCTTCTATCAGCTCCTTGGAAAAGGTTTTGTTTATGCCCCCCTCCCCTCCCATATATTCTTCGTGAAATATCGCTACGTTTTCGCAATCTACGCCCAAACCGACGATCCTTTCTGATTCCTCGTAGTTCCTCTATCAGTCAAACAACTCCAGACCAACACTCACCTCAGAAAGATGAGAAAATCACGATGTTTCGCAGTTTCTTTCTTTCTTTTCACTCGGTGGACGCCATGCTGACTGAGGCACCATGGGAAGCAAAAGTTCAGAGGTCACTCTTAAGTAAAAGTTCTTGCCGCATGTTACATCATACGTAGACTAATAATTTTCTCGTGGACTTAGAACTTGTATTGACTCTTCCGCGACGTAAAACGTTTGGTTCCACGACACAGCAGTGGCGAAAGCGGTCCTGGCGGTTGCCGAGAAGATGGCGCGGCGTGTGGCGGTGATCGGGGCGGGGGCCGCGGGGCTGTGCGCCGCCCGGCACCTGAGCGCCCGCCCGGACCAGTTCGTGCCCACGGTGTACGAGCAGACCGGGAGGGTCGGCGGGACCTGGGTCTACACGGACCGGGTAGGGACGGACGAACACGGTCTGCCGGTACACTCCAGCATGTACAAGAACCTCAGGTGAGTTGGCTGGTATCTTATTACCTGGTGGCTGGTGCCTTTAACCTTACGTGGTTGTCTGTTTATACTAGTAAATCTAATAGCAAGAGAGGGGCTATTAAAGTATTTTGTTTCAGCCAGAACTGTTTGCAGGTTGATTATTAGTCTGCTGTACTGCCTTGTACTCAGAATCAATGTACACTTCTAACGGACTGGCTGTGTGTATGTATAACTATAAGCTTAATCATGATGTTTCATCATTCATAGACACATATTTAGAGTATCAAAGTCCAAAACCGTCTGGAAATCGTTAGGGAAGGAAAATGTAGCTGAAGGAGAGGGATAGGCTCCACCTTCCAATTCCGTATGCGAGACACAAATTGGCTTTAAAAACACTGCACTTATGGCCTCAAAAAGGCTCTTGGAGACTTGGAGTACCTTTGAGTTTAATAATATGTAATGTTTATAATATATCTCTTCACATCAACAGAACCAACCTACCTAAGGAGGTGATGGCCTTCCCAGACTTTCCCTTTGACAGCAGCCTGCCGTCGTTTATCACACACCAGGAGGTGCTGAGGTACCTGGAGGACTACACCGACCACTTCCAACTCAGGAAACACATCCAGGTGCATGGGCTTACCTTAAAACTTACTCACTCTAGGACTGATGACTCTCTCTCTCACTCTCACTCACTCACTCACTCAATCAATCAGTCACTCTCACTCACTCTCTCTTTCACTCACTCACTCACTCAGTCACTCATGCACTCTCACTCACCCAGTCACTCACGCACAAACTCACTCACCTCTCACTCTCTCACTCACTCACTCACTCACTCACTCACTCACTCACTCACTCACTCACTCACCCACCCACTCACCCACCCACTCACCCACTCACTCACTCACTCACTCACTCACTCACTCACTCACTCACACTCGCTCGCTCGCTCTCACTCACTCACTCTCACTCACTTACTCACCCACCTACTCTCACTCACTCTTTCACTCACTCACTCACACTCGCTCGCTCGCTCTCACTCTCTCACTCACTCTCACTCACTTACTCACCCACCTACTCTCACTCACTCTCTCTTTCACTCACTCACTCACTCAATCCAGGGTGTTCTCTCTCCCATGGAGGAACCCCTCCCTTGACTGGCTCCATTCTTGTCTTAGTCTGGCACTTCTGGGCCATGCAGGGCCCAGATGATGCACTAGACTGTCCCTCTATTTTATACAGGGCTGTGCAGGACTTCTGAAGTGCATGAGAATACGTTAAGAGATGGGAAAGACTTATTGACTTCGTATTGGTATGTCTTTTTGACAAAGGTAAATCATCCCATTCTTGGAGGTAAATGACAGATTCGTGATGAGAATAGCAAGATAATTTGTCCCTCCGATCAAAATGGCATTAACTTTCTGCCTACCCTTTTGGAGTCATTACTAGCAAATATGCAGCGTTGCATGGTCTGCTTAAAGACAACCTCTGCTAAAAGAAGCAGGTAGGTGTCTCTAGGTACATACCCCTTTGTTTGTAACCCAACACAGCACTATCATTTTTGTTTGTTTGCTTGTCAAGTAACTTAGATATGAAATCAATAATGCATTATTATTTTTCTAGTTCCTGACCAAGGTGGACACTGTGAGACCAGTGCCCTGCGCTGACCAGATGGTGTGGGAAGTGACCGTCAGCAGTGTGGAGGAGCCGGAGAAGAAGACCACTCAGCAGTTTGATGCCGTGATGGTTTGTAACGGGTCAGTGTTATCTTCTCCTTGTGTCATCTTCCTTAGAATTTGGACTGTGGAAAATCTAATAGAATGTAAGTCTTTGTACAGCATAACTTCAATTGCCAGTTGAAGAAGTATACATGTACTTCCATCTGTTAGTACATTGGATATTAATCTGTCAAAAAAGAGATAGTTACAGAATTGCTCATGTTCCCATTTTTTCTCCATAGGCATTACTCGGTGCCGTACATCCCTGCCATCCCCGGGGCTGAGTCGTTCCAGGGAAGGTTCATCCACAGTCACGAGTACCGCAGTCCGGACGACTTCGAAGGCAAAAACGTCGTACTACTTGGAGCAGCGTCATCAGGGCAAGACATCGCCTTGGAGATCAGCGCGACGGCCAATCAGGTCGTCCTCAGCCATGAAAAACCGCCAATCAAAAGCCAGCTCCCTTCCAACATGAAGGAAGCTCCAGGGGTGGAGCGTTTCAAAGCTCCTAAAACTGTCAGGTTTACAAATGGGGAGGAATTTGAAGCTGATGTTTTTATGTACTGTACCGGGTATCACTACCACTTCCCCTTTCTTACTCCGGAATGTGAGGTTTCCGTACAGCGGGGTCGCATCACCCCCCTTTACAAACACCTCCTCCACACCTCCTTCCCCACCCTGTCAATCGTCGGCATCTGCTGCCGTATCTGTCCCTTCCCTCAGTTCGACAGACAGGTCCTGTTCGCCCAGGCCGCGTTGGATGGCAGTTTCGCGCTCCCCTCTCGAGAAGAGATGGAGGAAGACATTCGGCGGGACTATCACCGTCGTTTAGACGCGGGGAAACCTCCGCACCACGCTCACGAGATGGGGGAGGAACAGTGGGAGTACAACAACGAACTGTCCCGGCTGATTGGACTTGCCCCCCTCCCCAAGGCAGTGGAGTTAGTGTACAGGGGTGTGCATCACGAGAGAGTTAACAACCTGCAGTGGTACAAGGACGGGCAGTATGAAATAACAGGGCCAGAATCCTGGAGAAAACTAGAGTAAGGGGGCCTGCATGGGGGGGTCCCGACAACGCTCTATGCTAAATTGTGAGAGCACTTGGTGAAACTATTTTCAAATGTTTTAGCTTCTATTTGAGTTGTAGAGTACTTTTCTTGCTTTGTAGGACTTAAGTGGTGGTTGACCACCAGTCTTTATTTTTTACATATTGTATGGCCCCAGAAAAGCCAACAGGTAAAATGTAAAATACATGTAGAAAATACCTTGTCTAAAGTTAATGTTCAATTTTCAATCAAAGAGACTATTTTGAATGTATTAAAGAGATCATAAGAGTAATTTTATGCACTCATAACTGATTGAATACTCTGTGCAATGTACTAGTAGTAAATATAGGTGAATGAAAATTATATAATAAAAATTAATTGCACAGCTCTCTGCATTTGACAATGGTTGAATAAACACCTTTGTAAAATGAAGTTGCCTAAGGAAATCAAGAACTTAATAAAATCCCAATAAATGTTGCATCAGTAAGCACAGCAGTCTTATTTTCTCTGCATGAGGAACCATTTAAGTCTGTTTGAGACATACAAACTACATGAAGCTTTCTGTTGTGTTTGTTACCTTTGTCAGAAGGTTATGTGTTATTAGGTATACCCTACATAGGGGGTTGCTGATTTTGTAAATGGTTATAACTTGGGGTGTGGGATGTATCTTTATGATATTTGGAAGAAGATATGAAGTCATCAACCTCTTGTACTATGGATGAAATACATCCAGAAATCTTCAATGTGATATATTTCTACCAGACAAAAATAAAGATAATGAGTATCAAACCACATTCTGTACAAGAACAATCACGTTTTATTAGGTTGATAAACAATATGGCTCAAACGAATACTAGTACTAGTAATAGATAATGAATATTGCAGTCTAGCGAACTAACGTGCGTTCATTGTGCAAAATAACATACATTTTTGATACAGTCAGTGCGTGTACATGTGTGTGTCGTAGGCATTCAAATGTGCCTTGGTCAGTAGGTGTTTCCCAGGGTGGTCATCGGAGGCGCTTGGTGCAATTTTTGGCGACGCCACAGGGAGGAGCCTAATGGTACAGTATTGTGTGCAATTTTTGGCGACGTCTCAGGGAGGAGCCTAATGGTACAGTATTGTATGCAATTTGCAAGAATTCTAGGAATTGTACAGCTATTTTGTCCACAGGCATGGAGTGTCTCCCAGCTCTGTTTGCAGACCCACATCTATGCCCACATTCCTGGAAACCCTTTGGAAAACCTGGATGCCCTGATTTCTGTGACCCCGGGGCTCGTTCACTATATACTCAGGGGAGGAGTGCACTGTATCTGACTAGACTTAACACGTACCGAGGCTTCTTCAAAATCATGAAATCATGGCAGTACCATGCAAACAATAACCCTAACAGCAACCACCGTCGCCATGGCAATGTATGTTTTCATTGCATTGCCAGTCTTGTTCTAACTCCATTGATTATTAGGGATCGATCTCCCATGTCCAGTAAGTGTCTGGATGTGTGCGGTGAGTTATGTTCACTTCATGTGAGCTGGTGTCTCACACTTCGATGTTGGTAGCGCTAGCGAAGGAAGGGACGACCACTGCACTATACTCCGATTCCTTCCACCCGTTATCTCCCATGGCCAATAGGCGTTTAAGACTGTGCTGGTCTCTTCACTTTGTGAAACCCCACTTGAGTCTCTGAGTAGTGCGGATAAGGAACGTGATCGTTGTCTATTGTGTATTTTGTCTTCTACTATTTGCCTTGGCCAGTTGGTGTTTTCACTCTGTGAGATCTCACTTAAGTTTGGTAGCGCGGGTTGGGAATATGACCGCTTTATGTTATGACCACCGTCCTCTGCGACCTGCCATGGCCAGTAGGTGTCTGGCCGTGAGTTACACGTACATTGCGGTATGTCTCCCATTGAGCGTGACATAAACCCGTCTGTATTTACGCCATGACTTGTGCGTGAATACGTTTCTGTTACATGTCTTGCGTTCATGTATGTTCTCACGTCTTGGTCTTCGCCCGAGGACAACAAAGCCGCGGCCCCTCTTGCTCTTCTAGCTCTGCTTTGGTCTAGAGAGACTCCCTCTACATTCCCATAGAACGTTACGCAATGGGAGTTGTCAGCGATGCCACTGCCATACACACCGACATGCCGGTTAGGTGTAGACTTGTAAGGGCGTATATTTTTGGCGCCCCCTCTTGTTCGAAGAGCTCTTCTAACTCTGATTTGGTCTAGAGAGACTCCCTCTACATTCCCATAGAACGTTACGCCATGGGAGTTGTCAGCGATGCCGCTGCCATACACACCGACATGCCCCCTAGGTGTAGACTTGTAAGGGTGTATATTTTTGGCGGCCCTTCTTGCTCGAAGAGCTCTTCTAACTCTGATTTGGTCTAGAGAGACTCCCTCTACATTCCCATAGAACGTTACGCCATGGGAGTTGTCAGCATTGCCTCTGCCATACACACCGACATGCCCGCTAGGTGTAGACTTGTGAGGGGGTAGATTTTTGGCCACGCCGTCGTGGTAGACGCAGGCGAAGCCTCGGCGCTGATTTTGCCTCACAGCACCGTCGTCGTATACACAGGTGCTGCTACTCTCCCCATTTTGCCCTAAAACTGTCAAGTCAGTGGCAGCAGCATAGAACACCAACCGGTCATCATCTTCATCTGGGATCTCGCCATAGGCTGGCTCAATGTCACACAATGAAGCAGGAAGTGATGATCTACAAGAGACGCCATGTTCAAGGACTTTTCCGTCGTCTGGAATGTCCCAGTATGTGTGCGGGAGGGCGGGAAGGGGTCTCTGGGCAGCTGAGACGACCTCATCGTCCGTGATCTCGCAGTAAACGGCTTCGATCGTACTTAGGGAACTCGGCAGCGACCTACGAGTAGAGAGTTGACGGTTTGAACCGTGGGAAACTACGGGTAGGGAGGTCGGCCTTGCCCGCCTAGATACCTTGACACGTGGCTGGCTGACACGGGTGTCCAGGTGGTTGATTGAACAGCATTTCTTTAACAGTAGCGCAACAATGATTGCCAGCACCGGCAACAGCGCTAACACACTTGCCAGCATAAGCAAAATAAACAGGTGGCTTGTAGTTGTACTCGGTTCATCTTGGGTAGACCGAATAGTACTGGTTGGTGAATATGTCGTCAATGACAATGTGGTCTGCTGTTGTTGTCCTGACATGGACATCGTGGTCTGTTGTCCTGGCAACGTGGTCTGTTGCCAGGACAACGTGGTCCGCTGCCCTGACAACGTGGTCTGTTGTCCTGGCAACACAGTCGACCGCGCAGGTGTTCTTTGGGACGTCAGACCACCACCCCGGTCTTTACAGACCCCGTACGGATCCGAGTGCGTTTTGTTGAGCATATTCTGGGCTCCACGGACATCGAACACAAGCCGACTACTGCTGTCCTTCTTGAGTAGAAAACATGTGACCCTCTTTGGGTTTTCGCTTCCGGCGTTTGTCGAATGTGCCCGATCAAATGTCATCGCGAGAGTTTCCTTCTTTGCGTTTCTTTCCCAAAATGACACCAAACGGAGGTTGAAGTCGTAAAATAAGGCCAGAGTGAGGCCGACACCGCCCCACGCCTGTCTGCATCGGTCATCGTTGTCGGTATGTGGATCCAACGATCCGCGTTGGATCATGACAACAAAGGGCGTCTCACGTGTGATCTCTTCAGCCCACCAGCCACAGGATTCTGTGTGGTCATGAGTGGTGGGCGGATCAAAAGCCCATCTTAATGTCTGTTTATTGTGGTAGTTGCCATTTGTAACACAGAGCAGGCGATTGGCTACCTTGACAGACACGTCCTGCATTGAATGCCAACCGGACAATCCAAAGCCAATGCTCCACGACGCCAGGTCGTGTTCTATCGCATCAGGACCAGTGTCTGGCCTTGCTCCGATGTTACCGAGGGCAATGAGAGAACTTAGCACCCAGAACGCGCGTCCGTCCAGCTGTGACAGACCATTTCCACCGAGACCCAGTCTATCGAGCCCGGGGAGGTGTTCGAACGTCCCCTCGGCTATAACCTCGATGCAGTTCGACTCCAAGTTGATCTCATCCAGTTTGTTTAGCCCAATAAACCAGTCCGGCTCTACCTTCTCTATCAGGTTGCCGTTCAGGTACAGATAGCGAAGGTTAGATAGTCCCTTGAAGCACCCTGGATCCACCCTAACTATCTGGTTATTGGACAAGTCCAGCGAATTGAGGTTGGCCAGACCAGAGAACCAGCTTTGTTTCACACGAACCAGCCTGTTAAAGGCTAGATCCAACCTGTTTATGGTAGTAAGACCAATCAGGGCATTGTCCTCAATATCCGTGATTTCGCCTTTTAAAAGAGCCAGAATGGTGATTTTCCGATAGCTTGCTAGTGTCCCTGCCCGCAAAACTCCGAACGGATACCCGATCACTGCCACTTTTGATTTGGACGCACCCATGCAAGGTATGATCGGACTGGACGCAGGGGAAGGAATAGTTCCATTAAAACCATTGCAGACGAGCCATGAATTAAGAGGGATGTCCCCCATAGGCTTTTTAAGCCTGATGTCGGTGGGAAGATCCTCCAGCCGGCTTGCTACCCTACACTGAGGCGGGCAGGGGGTTTCTGAAGCTACACAGGTGGACACCATGGCCAAGAAAAACAACATGACGGCTAGCCTCATCTTCTGGTATCGAAAGCCACCAAAATACGTGACTCAAGATTTAAACTGTTGAAAAGTCAATATCTTCTCTGCTTGAACGGTACCGGTGTCAACTTTTCGATATTGGTCAGGCAAGAGCGGATATCGAACCTGAAAAATACAGTAGCGCACACTAGTACGGTTGCGTTTGTAGTAATAGTAGAGAGTGGCGGCAGCATTTTGCGCATTTGAATGAGAACGACTCTGAAATAAACCTTACCTTACCTCTCAAGCATTATATAGTAATAATGAAATACTGACCTTTTTGTTCTTCGTTGTTGATCCCCTGCTCTATCCTTCTACTGGTTGCCGAAACTCCTTACGACTCTCTAAAACTGGTACCCAGTCGACCGTTGGCTCGTCGGTGACGTCGGTGCTCAGAGAACTGCGCGCCCGCCCGGGTCCCTTCAGTGATTAGACTGGCCAAATGGAAAGATCAACCGGCAGAGAAGGGCCGAAAAGTGGGCCGTAGATCTAGAGATTGGTCACCTCTTTAACAAGTCTGAAGACGGTTCTCAAAACACCGATTTTCTCCCAACTCAGCAGGAAAATGTGCTCTCTTCTTGCACCACCGCTTTTAAATTGGTACCACAAAAATTTGATTCAGCGGACGAATCTCTGGTTTACGCGAAATGTTATGCAAGCGTGCGCAAAATGCATTCATTGAGCTTGTTTTGCAAGGGCTGTTACGAAACATGCGCCCATTTTGTTACAGATTCGTGAAACTTTTGCGTAGTTTCTCTGTTTTTTTAAAAGGCTTAAAAGACCTCTGGATTCACGACAACTTGAAACCAGGGTGCAAGCAGCAATACTTTTCGGTGCTCACTTTTCACATGAAACGAAATCTATTTAAACTAAATCCGCCAAAATACAACAAAGCTTGTGTCGCGTGCTATTGAATCGGCTGACATCCAAGAACCAGGCCTTAACAGGCAAATTCGTCTGCGTAATACAAATAGCTCGAATTTATCATGCAACAGACCAATTAATTTTCGTAGACAAATTAATGTAATATCTATCCATTACCATCGGTTTAGTTGTCCTAGTTTTAGATAAGTTTAATTTTTCAATACTGCAGTTTTTACAGCGTACAAGTGTGACTTTCTAGGACATTTTGCTGGTGTTGTTTCGAGTTGATGCTTCGACAAAGAATCTGCCTGTCCCAAACACACAAAAGAATTCCAACCAGTTGCAAAACGCATAGTCATGCAGCAAATCCGTCGGCATGCCACTTCGAGTAATAAATTTGTCTGTAAAATCTCTGATATCGTATTGCTTTTAATCTCTAGCAAAGGAGGTCCATGAAGCGCGACCAGAAACGAATTTGAAACCACGGTTGCAAAGCATACGTCAGACAGCCAGTTGCAATTGGTCGTTTATTTGAATATGTACTGCTTTTACTAGTCTCGAGTACCAAATTTGTCTGTAAAATCTAAGATGTTATTGCTTTTAATCTCTCCTTTTACTGATACGTCCTCGCTCCCGTTTTCCCCGACTGTTCAAGAGTTCAGTGTCCGACGGGCGCGCGCGTACACGTGTGTGTGTGTGTACCTGTGCCTGTGCCTGTGATATGTGTATGTACCTATGCCTATGCCTGTGTGCGCGCGTGTGGCTTCTTGTACAATGCTTCTTTCAAACCGTGTCCGAGTACGATTGTCCTAAACTGCATTCATTGTTGTTCCCGCCGGAGGTGGTGAAGCTCGTCCTAGAATGGGCACATCATTCAGTCATTACTGCTCTTTACGTTTCTGCCACGTAAATTTTGGAATTGCAAATGAATAAAGATGTATCCCCCCTTAATCCATGACCGAGTCAATATGTAAAGTAAACCGGTGAAGTCACATTGCGTTCAGACGCAAATCGTGATCTGGTGAAACCGGTGCGAAACTACCTCCTGAGGTGGTTTGGGATCGAGGCGCTTTCAATGTGATTTGGATCAGACTAGATGGGGCCACTTGAATCCTGCTTCAGTGGAAACCACATGCAAAGCGCTTTCACTGATTCCGTCTGAACAGGGCCAAGCGTCCGGATCGAGCCGGATTGATTCGCTTTGATTAATCTGGCATCTGGGAATAGACAGATGACGTGCAGTTTTTGTTCGTACAGGTAGGCGGCGTGGTTGTGTTCCTAGAGGTGCATTTGAAAGGAAATCACATGCGCTGGACGCAACGGATTTGTCTGCAATAAAATGAGGGTTCTTAATTGTGTTGTCTTCTTTACCATTCTTTGTTGTCTGGTGACCTAGATATTTATGTTTACCGAATAAAAACATTTTGTTTTTGCTCTGTTTCCTCTTCTTCTTCTTCTCCAAACCAATATTAGGTGAATGACCTGAACCAGACGTCTGTCACCATGGTAACTGGTGTTCAAGTTGCAATTTTATAGAAGGAGGGATTTAGACTCCTGTCGCTGACCATATGAATGTGTTGAGTAAGAATTAACAGAGCAAACCATATGGGAAGGTATTATGTATTTGCTTTCCAAATGGTACCTTTCTAGTCGTTTAGATGTTGTTGGCTGCCTAGTTGAGTAAAATGCACGATGAAAACGTATCAACGGCAGACGCAATGACAAGTTCTTAACCTACAGTGGCCTTTACTTGCGTGACGCCCTCTCCTGCTCAAATTAAGGCGTCTAGCAAAGTAGAAAAATGTAATCTTGGGGACATCTATAAACGGTTGTGTCACTTGAACGTTTGACGTATGACGAGTTAACGTGCCCAGACCATGTCGAGTCGCACGCAACCAGTCTTAGCAGAATTTGCATGATTATGTACATCTCTCTATGAACTACCTACATACCAAAAATGATGAAAATATGATGTTCCTTTCTGGACCTATCTGCTTTAAAATATTTTGCCAGAATCTCCCCTGCAGTTCCAGAACAAGCTGCTAGGGGGGCAAAACCCACACCACTTATTCCTGACAGGAAAAGCTATCTGTCACCAAAAAGCCAAGACCTTAGCATATTCAGGTCAAAAGATTTTTTTTAAAGTTCTGTTGCAGTACCAAGGTCAGCCACCAGGAGGCCTATATTTGACCTTGACCGTCGTCTTCCTACGACCTACCAACATACCAAATATCATCACAATCCATAAAGGCGTTCTGAAGTTATGCTGACTATAAATGTCCGGAAACACGAACAGACACACACACAGACAGACACGCTAAAAACAATACCTCCATTTTTCATGGAGGTAAAAAAAACGTAATCTTGGGGACATCTATAAGCGGTCGTGTCACTTGGACGTTTGACGTATGACGAGTTGACGTGCCCAGACCGTGTCGAGTCGCACGCAACCAGTCTTAACAGACAAGATAATCCGATTGCGTAGCTAAAAACGGACTGAAATACCCAATCAAGTCACGGGAGCATCTAGGGGTTACAATACATCATACAGTGACGTCTTCCTTCACGATTTTTCCTCAGTGTACGTATTTTTTTCTTAGGTGTGTTTGCTTGTAACAGGGACGTTCTAGATGCGTGAAAATGAGGATCCTATTTGCATAATCAAGGGGAATAATCTATAATTTGTCAGTCATAAAGATTACCATCATTTGGCGAAGGTGTGAGGTCGTGGAACTCTAATATCATAATATGAATCCGGCTTTCCACTGATCATGAAGACGGTGATCAATAATTGATTGGACCAGCGGAGTGGCGTGAGCGAAGGAAGGTAACCGTTCTGTCGGTCGACTTGTTTTCGCTGACATAGAGAACGGTCAAGGTCACATTTGGGACGACCTCAGCGGCATCCATCAAAGGTTGAGGCCATGTTGATTTGATTATATGGATGACATCCACGCGCGCATGAATTTTGGGGCGTTTCCAAAAAAGTTTACAACCATACTGTAAATCAAACAGTTTCAAAATGAGCAAATATATACCGTAATTTGCAAAAAAAAAATATTGGAAAAACGATACCAATGTTGTGGAATGCCAAAATCAAACGACAAAACTAAAATGTAAAGAAATAAATTTGAAGAGTAGATTATTCGCCAAACCACACTGTGTCATTTGTCCAACCTTCATTTCATAATGAAAGCAACTTTTTTTTGCAAATTTTTTTTTTTATTCGCACGCTCGCGTTTTGTGGTTCCCAGATGATGTCATCCATATAATCAAATCATCATGGCCTTAGCTTGTCCAGTTACGTTGTCAACGCCGTCGATGAATGGATGTGTATGGTTTTGGTAGGTTGGTGGGTTTACGTAATGATCCAAGCAACAAACTATCGGGTTGGAGAGCCCTCTATCGGCTTTCTTCGTTACTGCAGCGCAGCTTTCTGTTCTAGTGCACATGGTTTATACTAGATAGTCTATAGAGTCGATGCCATAGTCAAGTATTCTGACAGAGATGAGTAGTCCAAAACACCTGACGATGACCAAAAAAGACGGTAGAAATCGAAGATCTCATACCTCCGTGAAATATCTGAGAGAATTTCTTGTTTTAATCATTATCGTGATTTTTCGCTGATTCCGTCTATACATTTTCCCTCTGGTTCCAACAATTCAACAGGCTGGCACATAACAGAAAATGTAACCTTTTATGGGACCTTTGACCTAACTTCCTGTCAGTGTCGCCGATCGACGGAAGCACAAGCAAACACACAGACACTCTGAAAACAAAACCTACCGTACACGGAGGTACTGTAACTAGGTCACACTGAATCGTCATCAACATGTGATGCCACCCTATCCACACCCATTATTCGCTTTTAACCAATGACTCATACAGTCCAAAGGACTCTAGTTCGCACGGTTTGGTTTGGGGGCAATTAGGCCACACAAATTTAATTTGTTGGTTCTCGGATTCGCCTCTTCATTTTTTTCTGATTTGCAAAAAAAAAAGATTCTGGTTCTGAATCAACTCAAAAATGCTCATATTTTACTCCCAACAGTTGAGGAAAGTCCTTTTCTTTCTAGTTGTTACAGTTTTTCCTCTATCAATGCAGTAGTTTGAAAGTTAAAACTTCATTGTTTACATATTGATCCAGCCTTTTGTGTTGACTTCATTGTTCCTATCGAAGCATTTGGGGCTATAACAGGATGCTTAGACCTGTTTTTATTTTTATTATTTTTCCCCTGTCACTTCATGTTTTTTGCTGAAAAAATCCGAGAACCAACAAATTAAATTGGTTCCTTATGACACATGCAATGAGAATACTACATTGATTGGGAACTGAAATCATCAGAAAACGGATTTGAAAGCCCAGTCATCACACAAACATTAATGTGACGTTGATCAGAAGAGGATTACATTCTAAAAATGTTTCATTAATCCGGCGGTAACGTTCTTTCGACGTGATTTGACTAAAGGGGCTTGTCAAGGTCCGGATCGGGCTAATTTGTCATGCCAGCCGAGCGACACATTCAGGAAGGATGATGCAATTTGGTGATGATTCATTCGCTCCGAGGAAATTAGCTCAGATATAAAAAAAGGGACTTAGAATCCGTCTAAATTCCTTGTCTGAAATCTTTTTACAGTGACAGTTTCTTTCCCCGTACGGTCAAGCTTTGGAATTCCTTCCCTGACAAGTGTTTGACAACAACCTACAATCTACAGGCTTTCAAATCAAACGTTCACCGCCATCTCTTGACATAGCCATGTTTCTCTCATATTTATGGTTCAATGCCGAGAAGTGGTCGTATAGGCCTTGCATTGAACCACTCCGTTAAAAAAAAAATTAATAAATTTTATATGATATAATTGACATCGTTCCGGAATTCTGTGATTCGCTACACAGAAGCTCTAATTTGAGCACGGCCTGTTGTTTAAGTTTGCAGGAAATGAATATACATCGTTGATGCTAATCTTAAATCTTGGAGCCGGAGATGACATGGTCTTTAAAAATTATTAAGGGACGGGGAATTAATATTTTACGTGAAGTAGAATTATGACTTTTGACACATTTTTATATAATATGGAGACGCAGGACCCGAAAAAAGCCGCTACCGGGCTCAACATTCGGACCTTGTTTCTTTAGTTTACCAAAGCATGGCTACAAATTAAATGTCACACAAATACACTCACAACGTCTTGAGTTATGCCACTCACAAACGATACCGAAGACACAAACGTCTTGGTGGATATGATTAAGAAGAGACATACGGTACAAAGGAAATATAATTACGTCTTCCATGGTTTACAAAAGAGAAGTCAAACCCTTCTGACATAGTTTTAGACACAGCAACAGTTTTAAACATTTAGATTTCATTATGTAGATTTTGAAGTTATTCTATACTCTGTTTCAATGTTCTTTTATGTTTGTAACTTGCAATTAGCCTTCGGGAATTGCAATAAACTTCTCTATGTATAATTGTCTCTCTGAGAGTCTGAGTCTTTCAGCGGCTGTTCCATCTAGCGGAGCGGCCCGCGTGTCTAGGCCGTCGCGTTGTGTGCTTGAACTTGGCATGCCTACAATGCGACCGCGGCCAATGGGAGACGCCCGCGTCAGCAGGAGCGCTTCAGCGCGCGGGATGGCGGTTCCGGGGGAAGCCAGGGCCTCTGGCTCGGGGGTTTTCGGGCGGCTCCGCCGGGACAGCGGCAGAACGCTGCTACGTGAGCAAGATTGATCAGCGCGCTGCAGTGCAACCAACCAAGGCCAAATTTGGCCGCTGGAGCGAGGATCATGTGATAACACAAACAGTAGTTCCCGGGACCGTTCAGAATAAAACAAGGGTGGGGAGCGAGTGTATACTAGCTACATGTAGTCTGGTTTGAAATAAATGAATCTTTATTTTCCCAATTTTACTGTTTGTATGTGACTGTTGTGTTTTGTTGTGTAAAACAGGGCCCCATTGAAAAGAAGTGCAATCACTTAATGGGCCACCCTGTATAAAATTGTCGGAAAATAAAATAAATTTGCAAAATCATGCCCGAAGGCTAATTGCTTTCACAGTCAAAGACACTTCTAGTATTCGGTAAAATACAGTGATAATAATAGTAGTAGACAGACAACTACTTGTCCAGATAAATATCGTAGATGAATCTCAATACAAAAGCATACATTGTACTAGTAACTAGAATGCTTGATATACGTGATAGCTAATGTACATTTCTGTCCTCTTCTTTATCAGAATTTAACTCAGAAATCATTGTTAGAGATGAATTTCTAATCTATAATAGAATGTTTCAAGTCTCACTAAGCACAAAATTAAATTATGGAGCAAGTGTATACTAGCTAGTCTGCTCCGGGTTTGAAATAAATGTTGTAGATGAACTCAATAAAAAAGCATAACTAGAATGCCTCAAGTGCCAAGATATACGTGATAGGTAATGTACATTTCCGTCCTCTTCTTTATATCAGAATTTAACTCAGATGTAATTGTTAAAGATGAATTTTTAGATGAATCTCAATACAAAAGCATACTAGAATGAATTGAATTGCTTCATGTACCAAGATATACGTAATAGCTAATGTACATTTCTGTCCTCTTCTTTATCAGAATTTAACTCAGAAATAATTGTTAGAGATGAATTTTTAATCGATATTAGAATGTTTCAAGTATCACAAAATAGCACAAAATTATGGAGCGAGTGTATACTAGCCAGCCTGTTCCGGGTTTGAAATAAATGTTGTAGACGAATCTCAATAAAAAAGCATAACTAGAATGCTTCAAGTGCCAAGATATACGTGATAGCTAATGTACATTTCCGTCCTCTTCTTTATCACAATTTAACTCAGATGTAATTGTTAGAGATGAATTTTTAGATGAATCTCAATACAAAAGAATTCTAGACTGAATTGAATTGCTTCAAGTACCAAGATATACGTAATAGCTAATGTACATTTCTATCCTCTTCTTTATCAGAATTTAGAAACTTAGAACTTAGAAATTAACAAATAATTGTTACAGATGAATTTTTAATCGATAGTAGAATGTTTCAAGTATCACGAAGCACAAAATTATGCATACCTATTGTAATTGCATTTGGCTTAGTAAGGCATGACAAATTCTGTTGCTAACTGTGCGTAATAGCTCTGCTGAGGTAATGAGCAAATTCTGAAAATATGATAACTCTTCATCGTACGAAGTGATGTAACAAGCCAGAAATATCCCCTTTACTCAACCCTGCCACTAAAGATTCCAAGGCAGTTTCTCATCATTTTACTTAGGAAAGATTAAACTGAATGGTAGTCATGGTAGTTGCCTAACAATCCAATGTTCATTTTGCCTCCATTCATCCATTTTAATAGTCAGATAACACAATACGGTAGCTATGCCACTTTTTTGTTTGATTTGAGAGAAATGTGAAACATTTTAATGGAAACGGACATATTTTAAATTGTACATGCGATAGTTAGATTCGAGAACCATAGGAAAGGCATGTTCCCCAGTTATTAATTCACCCAATATTCATTCTATCCACCCATTCATCCTTCCGTTCATTCATTCCTTCAATCATTCGCTCTGCAGCCTTCAAGTCTGTGATTTTTAAAACATTGTAACTAGTTACTGTAGCATTTTATTACAATGCTTGATAGAAATCGCATGTGATCTGCATGAATCACAAATTGTTCTATTCTGTGAAGAATGAAGCTTTTAAAAGAGACCTTCGTATCAATATTACTAACACATCCCAAACGATCAATCCGACCTCCGTTACGCTTTGTGGCTTCCTCAGCCTCGGATCAGGCATCGCGGCGGGCGTATAGATTCTGTCACAGCTTACGCCCTTAAAAGGATGGCGATGAGCTCACAACACGTTTCGCGCTGGCGACCAATATTACATATTGGTATCACAACACAGTTAGAAATCAGAAAATATTAATGATATATAATATAATATTTAAAAATAAAAATCTGCAATAGCTCTCTCCTCTGCCAAACCATTAAGCTAATTTATGGTTAGCCTGGTTTTAGGAAACAGTCTTCTTGGGATCTTGTCATCTTGACGGTATAGAGCTTCAGAAACAGTACGCAGATAGCTAGAGAAATGGTAAGACAAAAACATTAGCCCATGGAGCCTGCCGTGGAGGCTAGCGCTCCATGCTTCGCGGACAGACCCTCTCCCTTCTCTCCCTCCCATCAGCTGGTCAGTCCCTGAAATGGGGCCCGCACGTCACACTGTCTCCGTCAGCTGCCGGAGGAACCTTGTCCGGGGGGAGGCAAACACTGCCTGGAATGGCAAGATAATTTTGGCCGCGCGCATCCAAGGGGAATTCATTTTCAAGACAACCGTACGCAGATTGCCATTGATTGGTCGTTGATGCATCCGTAATCTGTTGTGGGTGCCGTGGTTTTGCGCCCAGTTCAGCCCAAGTTCGACTCGAGCCCGACACTCGACAACCCCGGCCTTCCAAACGCGGATACTTGTGCGGGGTACCTTGTGTGCATCTGCCCTACGCGGCTAGCTGCTATTTTAGTGGATAGTGACAGCGGCCATCCGGAGCCACAGGAGTGCCTGTGTAGCAGCAGCCCTGCGCAGAGTCAGGAGTGGATAATATTTCACACGGTTGGTGCGTTAAGTGCGGCTGCGCCGAGAGAGGGACCGCCGCGGCAGACATCTGTACAGCGACGGGAAAGGAGCCTCACCTCGGACGGACCATCGGACCCATGCCCCCCAGGACCGGAGCGCCGCGCAGCGTCCGAGCCTGACCGTGTGACCAGCCCCTCGCGACCCCCGGGAAGGGAGAGGTACACCGTACCGCACACCTGCAGCAAGCCTGGATGTGGCTTCGCTCCGCAAAATGAGCTCAGTGAGCGGCGGGAGGTTTGACTTCGACGATGGTGGGACGTATTGTGGAGGATGGGAGGATGGCAAAGCGCACGGCCACGGCATATGCACGGGCCCGAAGGGCCGCGGAGAGTATTCCGGATCCTGGTTCCATGGCTTCGAGATAAACGGGGTCTACACCTGGCCCAATGGTAACACCTTCGAGGGCCAGTGGAGCCAAGGCAAGCGCGACGGGCTGGGGGTAGAAACCCGCGGGAGGTGGGTGTATAGGGGAGAGTGGACGAAGGGCTACAAGGGCAGATACGGCGCCCGAGAGAGCAAGACGACCGGCGCCAAGTACCAAGGCACCTGGAGTAACGGTCTACAGGATGGGTACGGCTCGGAAACGTATGCTGATGGAGGTGAGCAGTAGGGGAAAGAAACGGGAAATAATTAATACATGTAGAACTTGTTACTGTAGCAGCGGGGCCGGGAAATTCTCGGGGTCATAGGGTGGGGATATTTTCGGTCGGGTCGGCAGCCATGTGTAATAACGGCCCGCAGACTGCCTTCCTAAGCAGAATGTAGGGAGCCGGGAACACTTGGGAATGTAGGGGGGTGGGGGGACCCGATGATGTTACTGTTTGAGTGTGCTCCCCATCTATCCTCCGCCACACGAACAACAACATGGTATAAACACAACAGCACGTGATGCAGACAAACATACAGAGTTCGTCTTCATCACTACATTAGATGAAAGAGAAGGGACGAAGACTAGGTCCAAGTGCTCACCAAGCAATCTACTGGCAGTTGGTTCGGTCGGGAGCATGCCAAAAATGGAAAGAGCGACCAAAATGTCTGGTCGCCGTCCAATGGCCCGGAACACGTCATAAACCCGGGACGCCGTGCCGCGCGGCCCGTGTGGTCACCGCACAGGTGTACGGTGCGCCGGTGTGCGTTTGTCCGTCTGTGACCAGCGGGGACACAGTTCGGTTCTTTCCAAGGGGTCGCTCTTGTTCACATAAAACTTTGGGTCTACCTCCGATTAGCGTTGCGCTCCGATAAGCATTCCAGGCGCTTCAACAATGTCACATTGCTGGAATACTTGAGTTGGCCGGTAGAGCGAACTGACTGCAAGCCGGCCGCCCCCCTCCCCACCATCTCCTCACCTCCCGGCTATTATTGACTGTCAGAGCCAATCGTTTAACAAGAAGAAAAATGGGCGTGCCGCTCGCAAAATCCGACTTACTGGGCCACGCAAGGGTCATGAAATTATACCTTCATTCCTACTTTACACCGACTACACACAACTGTCTACTGTTACAAGCGAGGACGTGTCTTTGCTTGACAACAAAATAGACGATGCGGAGACGCGGTGACCCCTTTGGCTGCCTCATGTAACGTGTTCCCCAAATCCCCTAACACCGCCCGATCGATCGCTAAATACTACTAAATTATTTTCCTTTTCCTTGTTACACGCCCTCGTAACTACATTAGTGGGCTGAGTCTGTCCTCCCCTCCCAAAAGCACTTCTTTATCTGATGAGTAGATTAAACGCCAGTCCGTTGCTGTTAGATGTTGTCATAATAAGTACCAATACATGTTCACCCCCCCCCCCAACACACACTCATACAGAGACCATTACCATCATTTTGTTTTCTATTTATGGATTTAATAATCATAGTCACCACCAGTGCGCTTTTATTTTTCACAACCCTAATTCCTATTCCGGCGTACCCGTACGTTGACTCAGTTTCTGCGCATCCTTGTTGAATAATGATATGCATGCAAAGTGAGCAACTGACTGCTTGTTCTCGACTGTATGTACCTCGCAATCATACCGTCCTGGTGAGATCATACCTGGCACCATCCCCGTAAAAAATCTGGCGTCTTCCCCCCGCTTGTGTTCCCCTTTATGACACACACGGTGATGAAGCAATTTTCGCATGTAAGGTGATCGCTGTGACCAAGTCGTTCGGCAGTGATTGGATCTTTACCCTAGTCACAAGCCGTGTTCATTTGGCACGGAGGTGGCCAAAAAAAAGGGACAGGCTTTCCGTAAGCTTTAGATTGTAACTCTAGGTGTTCCCGACACCAGAAATACGATTCTACATTATTTTTCATACATTTGATATTCATAAATCGCAGTGTTTTATAGTATCAATAAATCCAAATGCAAAGTTATACAGTGCAGCCGTTTCATAAAAGGCAGTATGTAGTGATGTAAATGTGCCTATATAGTTGTGAAATAAAATACTTCATTTATATATAGAAAACGCATAAAATATTATTATTATCATTTTCTTTTATATGAATTACGCCATGCCACCGTGAGACATAATCCGTTCGGCATATAATCCATTGAACTGAAATTAGGAAAAATTGATATTTTTTTCTGCATGTATTTTGCTTCGTCTATTTTACATCTTTAATTGTGCTGCTTAACACAGGAATATGATTCATTGAACGTTAGAAAAACCGTTAGGAAACCGTTAGGAAAAACACAGGAATGATTCGCTGAACGTTAGAAAAATCCGTTAGGAAACCGTTAGGAAAGACACAGGAATGATTCACTGAACGTTAGAAAAAACCGTTAGGAAACCGTTAGGAAAAACACAGGAATGATTCACTGAACGTTAGGAAAAACCGAATATTTGTACCGTGTCTTTATTTACATGCAAATGACGGTAGGCCGGCTAGAGGCACCAACTCACGCCGCTCACCGCACGATTTCACTTCCATGTTGTCGACGGCAAGATGGATTGAAGTGCGCTCGGCGGGACACGGGGTGATATTTCTTCCTGGCATGATTTTTCACTCCCCGTCACCGCTCGTTCCCAATCACAGCACAATACGCGACCGCCGGGTGGGCTGTCGGATGGGCGAAAATTAGAGAGGAGGGAGGGTGTGGAAAGAAAGTTAGTAATGATACTAATATGGGAAAATATCTGTTCTATAGAATTTTACAAAGAGCAATTCGAAGTACACATACACACACTTGTACTGGTGGAATAACATTAAATTTACTTTCGCATGATTTTTCACTCCCCGTCACCGCTCGTTCGCAATCACAGCACAATACGCGACCGCCGGGCTGTCGGATCGAAGAGGGTGGGCGAAAATTAGAGAGGAGGAAGGGTATGCAATGATACTAATATGGGAAAATATCTGTTCTATAGAATTTAACATAGATCTTTACGGATTTGTAAAGGAAGCGTAAAAATGTGAAATATAATTTACGTCGTATTTAAGCGCACTGAAAGGTGACGGAAAGGCGGAATTTGTCTTTCAGTGGCCTTTACGAAGTCGTAAAGTTTACTGAAATATTTTACAATCTTTAATACTTCTTTACATGTTGCGGAAAGTTTGCTTAAATGTCTGTTTTCGTGCTGTGAGTGCAATTCCACGTACCAGTGGAATAACATTAAATTTACTTTCTATCCTGACTGACACTCTAATATTGCCATTGTACGTTACCGATGTGCGTGTCCTAAAACACACCAGCAGCGCACGTAGATATCTTATTTACTTCTCATGGTGATTTTCAGTAACGCACGCTCCGCTCCGTATCAGCTTCTGGTTCATGTAACGGGCACCAGACATTTCACAACAACTGGTCACGGTTGTATAAGTGTCTGTGATATGGCTGGACGTGTAAAGAGGCCCCGTTGAAGCTGTTGGTAACATTATGTATGACTTTCAGAAGTGTCTAGGAGAGCTTATTGGGAATAGCTGCCATAACAGTATACTAGTCTTTACGTCCGGTGTTTTAACATGGACATTTTTTGCTGATTGCATACTTTGTTCTGATTGATGTGGTGTTTTTCATGGCTCCCGTTTCTAACAACCCGTTTGATCGAATCTTGTTGAAGACGGGGCGCCCATCATCAGAACACTGCCGGTGGCAATTACCGTACACGGTGTGCTATAAACAAAGAAGGCGTCATATCAGAACAGCAGTGTTCATGGAGCGTGTTATAAAGGCTAGCTATCAGTAGCCTCCGTAGCAGGCTTATAGAACTGGGGGTTTGGTGGTATTTGGCTGTTTTCTGATTAGCCCAGTTCTAGCCTCCGTAGCAGGCTTATAGAACTGGGGGTTTGGTGGTCTTCGGCTGTTTTCTGATTAGCCCAGTTCTAGCCTCCGTATCAGGCTTATAGAACCGGGGGTTTGGTGGTCTTCGGCTGTTTTCTGATTAGCCCAGTTCTAAAAAAAACGGGGGGCAATTCAACCAGGCTGGCTATGTTGTCTATACGCAATCAGAAAATAGCACATAAAAGCTCCCAAAGACCCTGAAGACCCCCAAAATCCCCAGTTTTTGGCATGCTATGGAGGCTAAGTTATCAAGCTTGCTGTGTTCGAGTTTTCAGCCAAACATGGCCGTCCTTCACGCACACACAGAGTAATTCCGGAAGCCCGATAACAACTCGGTTAGCAGGCAATGTATGTGGGGGTTCCTGACAAGTGTCATCATCAACGTGCGAGGGAAATAATGCAGATCTCCACATGATAAAGCTGCTTGCACGATCGAGTATAGAAGCCGGGAGAGAGAGAATCTATTGCCACAGGTGCCTTGGTGTAGACTCCTTTTGCAGGCTGAATAAATCGTAGAAATCGGCCTAAAAAGGGGATATAATTGGCCAGAGTAGGTAGCCGACCAGAGAAGCTCCATTTGCCTGTACGTGCAATTGCACGTGGTCAATTATATTCATTTCTAGGCCGATTTCTACGATTTATTCAGCCTGCAAAAGGAGACTGGTGGAGTCTAGCCTTGGTGTTTGAATCATGCATGGTGATCTTCAGTCAAGCAGATGTTGGGATAGAAAATCGTAACGTTTTCGGGCTGCCCCATTTTTGACCTTAAAGACTAGCCTTGGTCAGTTGCTTCCAACGGTCTCTCCCAGGTAAGGATACCCCGCTAATAAAAAGGAAACTACACACAGCTACACAACAGAACACGTTTACGATTTTCCATCCCAATATTTGGGGATTAGGGACATCTTCAGTCAAGCAGATGTTGGGATGGAAAATCGTAACGTTTTCGGGCTGCCCCATTTTTGACCTCAAAGACTGGCCTGTGGTCAGTTACTTCGCTTCCAAGGTTGGCTACCCGGCTAATAAAAAGAAAACGTAGCAGCTACACAACAGAACGCGTTTACGATTTTCCATCCCAATATCTGGGGATTAGGCACATGTGTCTCTCGGCTTGGGTTTCAGCTCGCTCGGTAAACAGGGCTTTAATGAGATCTGTGGAGGGAAGCCGGCGGCACGCCAACACACCAGGATCCGATTCACCCTACAGAGACCGTCCGTACTGATCAATATTCCTAGAAACGGAGTTAAAACAAGTTAAAGATGTTTTCCGTCCGACTACAATCCACAAAGCTTCAAAACAAAGGTCCACTGCCATCTCCTGACATAACT